AAGGTTCTTGGCAAAGCCTGGATGGAGGATGGAGATGAGAAAGGTAGTGTGAGGGTGGCACACCCAATTTGTGCTGTGATTCCAGTCTTGGCAGCCCTGGGCCTGCTGGGAGAGGGATGAGAGTGACATGTGGCCCAGTTTTAGCGCAAAGAAGGAAAAGTCACCAAGACTGTCCATGAGGGCAGGAGCTCTTGGTTCTCCTCCTAGATGAGAGTTAGAAGGAATTTGAGAGCAGGGCTTCCTTCTTGGCTTCCAAATACTTCTTATCTTGGAGTTTTTCTAGCCGTGGTTAGTGGGTCATAGTGTCAGCTACGTTGCCAAATGGGAGCTGAAGTGTGTTGTTGGGCGAAGGGTGAAGACGCTGTCAGAGAATAAGACAAAGCCCACTAGAACTTTAAAAACAAGCCAGAAAAAAAACACATACCCACACACACACCCTGAAGAGGAAGCCAGGAGTTTGCAAGCCCTAGAAGTGGTTATTGTGCTAATTAAAGATTGAAAGCTCACTCTCAAGAGAGCTGAACCAAATCCCTGGGCTGCCTCAGGATTTGTGAAATCAGTGCCATTGTTCTCTGGTCAGTTCAGTCCAGGAGGGGCTGGCGTCCAAGCGTCACTCAAGAGTTCATGGCTAGGCCAGGCGTCGTGGCTCATGCTTGTAATCCTAACACTTTGGGAGGCCAAGGCAGGCGAATCACTTGAGGTCAGGAGTTTGAGACCAATCTGGCCAGCATAGTGAAACCCCGTCTCTACTAAAAATACAAAAATTAGCTGGGCATGGTGGCACGTGCCTGTAATCCTAGCTACTTGGGAGGCGGAGGCAGGAGAATCGCTTGAACCCAGAAGGTGGAAGTTGCAGTGAGCCGAGATCACGCCATTGCACTCCAGCCTGGCAACAGAGTAAGACTCCGTCTCAAAAAAAAAAAAGAGTTTGTGGCTCTTGCAGCCTTAGCCGGCAAGAGCAGTTGCCATGAAATAGCATTATTTCTTTTCTCTTTATGCTATTGTGGTAAAATACACATGGCCTAAAGTTGACCATTTTAACCATTTTTAAGTGCACAGTTCAGTGGTATTAAGTACATTCTACCCTACCATCGATGTGTACCCTACCATCGATCTCCAGCTTCTTTGGGTAAATGCCAGCAAGCATGATTACTAGACCATTTGGGAAGAGTACATTTAGTTTTGTAAGGAACTGCTAACTGTCTTCCAAAGTGGCTGCACCATTTTGCTTTCCCATCAACGATGAATGAGAGTTCCTGTTGCTCCACATCCTCACCAGCATTCGGTGGTGCCAGTGTTCTGGATTTTGGTCCTTCTAATAGATGCGGAAGATATTTTTCAATAGGATTCACCACCCTATTTTCTGCATGGATTAAGTCTACACAGGGGGACAAGGGAGTTCTGTCTAGGGGACTAGAGTGAGTAACCTTTTGTTTCCAAAAGTGCTTCAAATCTATTAAATGGAAAGTATTTTCACCTGGTTGATTCTAATCTCCAGTCTTGTGTCTGGAGGCAGATTGTTTCTTTAGACATTTTTCACCGTGTCGGCTGGACGCGGTGGCTCACACCTGTAATCCCAGCACTTTGGGAAGCCAAGGCGAGCAGATTACTTGAGGTCAGGAGTTTGAGACCAGCCTGGCCAACATAGTGAAACCCTGTCTCTACTAAAAATACAAAAATTAGCTGGACCTGGTGGTGGTGCTGTAATCTCAGCTACTCGGGAGGCTGAGGCAGGAGAATCGTTTGAACCTGGGAGGCGAAGGTTGCAGTGAGCCGAGATCTCACCACTGTACTCCAGCCTGGGCAACAGAGTGAGACTCAGTCTCAAAAAAAAAAAAAAAAAAATTCACGGTGTCATGTAAGATATAATACCTTATCTCCTTTTAATGTTAAATTATTATTTATCTTTTTTGTGTCATCTTAAAAGGAAATTTTAGGTTCTTCAGCTGTACCTCTTACATGCAGGTTTCTTCCATGACTTCGGCATCTGTTAAAATTCTCGCCATATTTGGGCCTGCAGTTGATCTCACCATCAAACATACAACAGTTTCTTTTCTAATACTATATTTTTCTCAGTTTCTCTAATTAATGCCCTTGTTGCTTTTGTAACGATGAAGGACATCACTAGTAAACAACTGGGTTTCAACTGATTCTCCTAAAAGGCAATGCATTTTGTCTCCTCCTTTAAATCTTCTGCTTATTTTTCAGTTTGTTATTATAATAAGAGGTCATGTGTGTGGATTGCTTACTTTGTGCTGGGCACTATGCTAAATTCCTTACACATGGTATCTCTTTACGCTTGTAACTTCGTGAGGTATCACAGTCCTCAGTTTTACAGATGAAACTGCAGCCCAGAAAGGTGATTTGCCCAACCAGCAAATTGTGAAACTGGAATTGGAGGCTCTGGTGCCCAAGCTTGCATACTTAGACCAGGCATTAGTAATAGCCTCAGTTTCGTTTATTGGTTTGTTTAGCCTTAGTTTTGAAGCATTTGTTAAGTGCGAGGTCCATGTGGAGTGTGTAAACACTCAATCTCTGTGTGATGACAGCTCCAAGGAGCAGTCCAGCAAGTTCTGTCTGGCCAAATCCAGACCTGGTTTCGATTAGCTTTGTTCCTGATCTCTAGATCGCTCTGCTCTATGCTTGAACCTGTATGCTTGAGTCAAGCTTACCTCTCTGACAGGTGAAGAAAATGATATTTCACTATAATATTAATTTTATTTTTCTTATCACAAAGGGAAGGCATCTTCTCATTTTTCTAAGTCCTGTTGGCTCATTGCCTTTGCTCTTCCTGCATTTTTCTCTCTCTCTCTCTCTCTCTCTTTTTTTTTTTTTTTTTTTTTTTTTTTTGAGATGGAGTCTCACCCTGTCGCCCAGGCTGGAGTGCAATGGTGCAATCTTGGCTCACTGCAACCTCCACCTCCTGGGTTCAAGTGATTCTCCTGCCTCAGCCTCCCGAGTAGCTGGGATTATAGGCGCTCACCACCACGCCCGGCTAATTTTTTATAGCTTTAGTAGAGATGGGGTTTCATCATGTTGGCCAGACTGGTCTTGAACTCCTGACCTTGTGATCCACCCACCTCTGCCTCCCAAAGTGCCGGGATTATAAGTGTGAACCACCGCACCTGGCCATATCTGATTTTTTTTTAAAAGATGTCGTTTTGTTGAATTTGAGAATTCACTTAGACCACAGGCCTCTGATGAAAAATATTCTTGTTTTCCTTGTCTTCCTTTTATGTCCTACATAACCTGAGTGTGTTTTAGAGGTGGGATCGCAGTCTTTGCATACAGGAGGAAAGTTGTCATGGTTCTGCGGTCATGAGGCTGAGGGCCCACGATTCTGATGTGGATGGAATGCAGCTGGCATTGCACACGTCTTAGATGCTCTTCCTGACTGCCCGCTTTGTTCTAGGCACTGTGCAAGGTGCTGGAGACAGCAGAGAAGAGTAAGATAGTCCCTGCCCTCGCACTGCAGAGGGGAGGCCTGTTCTGCCTCCCTGAGATGGGAGCACTGAGCTAAATCACACGTGAGGAAGAGTTAGCAAGGTGGCCGGAAGGGCATTTAGGCGAGGGGCAGTGAAAGGCAGGCTGGAGCCACAGATTGCAGGCAGAACAGGCAGGAGCCGTGCTTGGGAGGCCTTTGAATGACCTTTTAAGAAGCGTGAACTTGGCCGGACACAGTAGCTCACGTCTGTAATCCCAGCACTTTGGGAGGCCAAGGCGGGTGGATCCCTTGAGGTCAGGAGTTCAAGACCAGTCTGACCAACATGGTGAAACCCCATCTCTACTAAAAATACAAGAAGTAGCTGGATGTGGTGGTATGTGCCTGTAATCCCAGCTACTCAGGAGGCTAAAGAAGGAGAATCGCTTGAACCCAGGAGGTACAGGAGGTGGAGGTTGCAGTGAGCCAAGATCATGCCATTGCACTCCAGCCTGGGTGAGAGAAGAGAGCAAGACTCCGTCTCAAAAAAAAGAAGCGTGAACTTTACCCTTAGGCTTTCAGTAAATGTTTGTGTGAGCAAATGAACTACTTATGCGGATCGTTCCCCCATAACATCAGACACTGTGTTGTAAGATTCAGCCGGCCAGGTGCAGTAGATCACACCTGTAATTTTAGCACTTTGGGAGGCCGAGGCGGGTGGATCATGAGGTCAGGAGATTGACACCATCCTGGCTAACATGGTGAAACCCTGTCTCTACTAAAAATACAAAAAATTAGTCAGGTGTGGTGGCACTCTCCTGTAGTCCCAGCTACTTGGGAGGCTGAGGCAGGAGAGTTGCTTGAACCTGGGAGGCAGAGGTTGCCGTGAGCTGAGATTGCGCCACTGCATTCCAACCTGAGTGACAGAGCAAGACTGTGTCTCAAAAAAAAAAAAAAAGATTAAGCCATGAGGGGCCTCCCATGCACAAAGCTCTGCCCGTGGTTACTCGATGCCATAAAGGACGGCATAGATCTGTTCACACTCTCGACTTTGTCTCTTGGGTAGAGCGAGCACCCTGGGATGCTTTCCCGCAGACATGTCGTGTGTCCTGCTTATGGAAGCCTAGCTCGGGACAAGCATTGCTCCAGGCCGGTGGGGTGGTGCTGTTTTCCTCCTGGGAACACGGGTCCCTCCCAGCACCATCTCCAACTGGTAGAAATGTCAGGAGTCACAGCCTGGAAGGGTCTCCTTTAATCCCAATCCGTATCTTCTGGGTGAACCCCTACTCATGGCTTCCTGAGACAGAGAAGCACATGGCCCTCACCCATCATGGGCTCCGAGGTGTGACCGAGAAGCTGGCCACGTACTAAGAAAGTCGTTGTGCCTGCCTCATCTCCAGCGCTGCCAGAGCTGCCGTGGACTCTCGCCATGTAGTCCCTCTACCCCCTTGTTGCGTGCATCTCTTTCTTGACAGCCACACCAGGGCACGGCTGCAGTCTCTCTGGCTTCAGCAGATTCACGCTCCATTGTAAATATCACTGCCTTCTTCCTCATGTGTTTTTTTTTCTCGTTTGACAGGCTCTTCAGAGTAACCTGAGGTACTCCTTGTTGCCAAGACGGCTCCTCATCAGTAAAAGATTAGCTCAGTGTTTGCATCCTGCCCTGCCCAGTGGTGTGCACTTAAAAGCCCTAGAAACCTATGAGATTATCTTTAAAATTGTGGGGACCAAATGGCTGGCCAAGGACTTGTTTCTGTACAGGTACGATTGCTTCTCTGCTGTGTTCCTTTTTATTACCCAAGTAACCAGTATTTCAGCTCACAAGATGAGAAAATGACAAACAGGCAATATAAGCGTGGGGCTGTGTGTGCAGCAATTAATCATAAAGCCATCATCAGGAGACGTCACTGGGCGCCTTCTAGAGTCTATCCGTCCTGACTTTTCTGTAAGGGAACTTTAGGATCTGAACGTGCGGACAGCTTCATTGCCGGCTCATTACATAACAGTGTTTTGTGACCATCTCGTGTCACACACACATCGAAACCAGCAGTTTAAATGGCCAGCTGTTTGCTTGTGAAAACTCCCCTGGGCTGGCTTGTCACGTGGGACTTCTGACTGGGTATCTTATTTCTGCCCCGTTCCCTCTCGTTCTTTCTCGAAGCTGCGGGTTATTTCCTCTCCTGGCACATGCGGCGGTGTCGGTGAGGCCGGTGCTGCTCACCCTGTACGAGAAGTACTTCCTCCCACTGCAGAAGCTGCTCCTGCCCAGTCTGCAGGCGTTCATCGTCGGCCTGCTGCCCGGCCTCGAAGAAGGCTCCGAGATCTCCGACAGGTGCGTGGGCGTCCTGTCCAGGTTGTGTTTACTCCACTGCTTTATAAGACACAGGGAAGGGGCCGGGTGCGGTGGCTCACGCCTGTAATCCCAGCACTTTGGGAGGCCGAGGTGGGCGGATCACATGGTCAGGAGATCGAGACCATCCTGGCTAACACGGTGAAACTCCGTCTCTACTAAAAAATACAAAAAATTAGCCGGGCGTGGTGGCGGGCGCCTGTAGTCCCAGCTACTCGGGAGGCTGAGGCAGGAGAATGGCATAAACCCGGGAGGCAGAGCTTGCAGTGAGCCCAGATCACACCACTGTGCTCCAGCCTGGGCAACAGAGACTCAGTCTCAATAAAAGAAAAAAAAGACATGGGGAAGGAAGTGCAGAGACATGGCAAGCAGCAGTAGGTGTGGAGGTCGGGTTGCTCTTTCACATTTCCTTGGTGGTTGTGATTTCAAAATGCCGTGTTCCTCCCAGGAATCTCTCTGTGTCTCTTTACTAAAGGGGAAGTCCCGAGCCTGGAGCGATGAGATCCTTTATGTGGAGAGAAATGTAGCTCATTAATAAGGGAGACCATAGTGTAGGGTTCCCATGGTGTCCTGTCCTGCTACGGAGTTACCCGCTGAGTCACCATGTGTGGAGGGGAAGACATACCCTCTGAGGGCCCCTAGTGTGGCGGAAATGAATGGACCCTTTCCTGGGCACTTGGAGCCTGCTTTACACACATGATCACGTTGCGTGATGAATTCCTCTGCTCCAGGAGTTACCTCCATTTACGGGTGAGGGTCAGAGGGTGAGAAGGTTTCCCACTCGCACAGTCAGCGAGCCCCAGAGCTGGGATTCTATTCCACTGTGTCTATTGGATTCTTTTTTTTTTTGAGACAGAGTCTTGTTCTATCATGTTCTATCGCCCAGGCTGGAGTGCAGTGGTGCGATCTTGGCTCACTACAACCTCCGCCTCCTGGGTTCGAGCGATTCTTCCACCTCCCAAGTAGTCAGGATTACAGGCATGTGCCACCACGCCCAGCTAATATTTGTATTTTTAGTAGAGATGGGGTTTCCCTGTGGTGGCCAGGCTGGTCTCAAACTCCTGACCGCAAGCCATCCGCCCACCTCAGCTTTCCAAAGTACCTGGATTACAGGCGTGAGCCACCGCGCCCATCCCGTATCAGATTCTAAAGTCCTTCTTCTTTCCATTAAACTAGGCTGCTTCTAAATTAAAAAGCAAAGCCAAGGCAGGGCTTGAAAAGGCAATTTAGCGTGATATGAAGCAGAATATCTTGACAGATTTCAGTAACACCTTGAAGAAATGTGTAACACTCATATGCACAAAAGTTCATGTTTTTTTTTTTTTTTTTCCGGTCACTGCTTAGGAATGGGAGAAAGTGTGTATCTGTTCAGACTATTGAGTATGGCTGGGCACCGTGGCTCACACCTATAATCCCAGTACTTTGGGAGGCCAAAGCAGGTGGGTCACTTGAGGTCAGGAGTTCAAGACCAGCCTGGCCAACATGGTGAAACCCTGGATCTACTAAAAATGCAAAAAAATTAACTGGACATGGTGGCATGCACCTGTAATCCGAGCTCTTTGGGAGGCTGAGGCAGGGGAATAGAAGAAAACATCTTTTTTTTTTTTTTTTTTGAGGCAGCGTCTCATCTTTCACCAGGCTGAGTGCAAGAGCGCAATCACCAGCCTCAACTGCAGCCCTCTGAACCTCTGCCTCAAACGCATATTTTTCTCGCCCGCAGCCTCTGAGGAGCGGGACTTACACCGACAATGCTGCCACATTCGCTCAAGTTCTTGTATTGTATGTGTTATTGACATGGGTTTCATCCATGCTGCTCATGCCTGTGGCTTCTGGAACTTGGCTCTAACTGATCTT